TATATGTATCTCTCTTTCTCCCTTCTCTAACTAAACGTGTACTTCTATATCCAAGGAATGAGGAGGAAAGGGAACCTACAGAAAGACAACCGAAGACACTAGCCAACCCTAAAATAATGTAACAACAAATGCACTTACCACGCGCTCCGTACCTTGCATCGACTACGCCCATAGGGACTGTTTAACTATACGAGCATCGCCTTGCTATGCCTGGAGAGCGTTGATGCCTCTAGTAGCTATCCCATAAATTGGGGGAACCTACATGTAGATGTTTGTCTGATCTATCCTTCATATTATACTTGTAATACACAATGCGTTCTGTCTTCAGATCTCTTCGACTTCGATAACTGACCGCTGGGGCGAGTAACTTACAAAGAGACTCCAACTTCAAAGCGACTGGATATCAATGGCCCACGTTCGAAATGAACCGTTGCAAGAAAATGTTGTCTGACTCTTATGTACTTTGAAGTAGTATAAGACGAAGAGCCGAGGTAGCGCCGTTCGGTTGTCTCTACTTCAAAACGTACTTTCCATCATTACAATATTATTATTATTATTATAGCACTTGTCCGGCAGTAGGCTAAACTGGCTTGTAGAATCTTGGAAGCCGAGTCCGTTTGTGCTCACTATTTCGCAGTACACTGAACATTCCGTAACATAATCAATACCGACTAAAGTTAGAATTGAGATGTTGAGAAATGGATTTCAGCCTAGTTTCCGTAGCTCGAACAAACGGAAGAGACCATGACGAACTGGTGGTAACCGTAGTAGAACTAGACGCGCTCTGATGAGTTTTACAAGCCAGCCGTTCTATTTAGGGAAAGACAGACAAAGGCATCGCATCGTGCGGTGCTGAATTACTTGAGATGAAGCCAGAGCTATGGCTCTCGGTGCTTGCTTAGGTAGATGTGGTACGAAATGCTGGCAAAGCACAGATTGGTTAGCCTCACTCATTTCCTCGTCGGCAAGTGCAATTATTTGGTGCTCCACAGTAAACATACACGAGTCTAAGATTACGTGTGGTAGAAATAACATGGCTATTAAAGTTGGGAAATCACCTGTTGAGAGAATGTTGGCAGGACCCTTGCAACACGATATTACAGTGTTTGCAAGTTTCTTCCGGAACCTTTTTTTAACAATAATTATGCATGCACCACCTGCCAGTGCGACCGACCTGATATAAGTCTGAGCGCCTTCGTGGAAACCGATACTGCTCTCCGATCGCTCGCGCTTCTCGGCCGTGACGGGATCGTATCTATGATCCACTATTGGGCGTGCGCGCCTGGACTGCCAATGACGCAAAATAGATTGTGCTTGGCAAAACCTACGTAATAGACCCTGACTGGTGTTACACTCTCTATTTGATCAAATTTGAAAAGCAAACCAATGGGTGAGTGCAAACACTGGTACGTGCGGTGTAACTTCTCTCTTTCAAAGGTCAGCATCGCTTGTTTCACAGGAACTCTCAAAGCGGTCTTCACAGGCTACACTCTTTCAAAGGTCAGCATCGCTTGTTTCAGAGGAACTCTCAAAGCGGTCTTCACAGGCTTCACTCTTTCTCCACGCTACTACAACACACACACACATGTGCACGAGCACAATATTAACACGGGACAGTTGCGGATCATCTGGCTCTTGAGTCTTACGCGAGTTGAGGGATCAAAGTACGCACGAACGTGTGCCCGTGTCCAGCAGCAAGTTAGTTCGAACACTTCGCCCTGGGCTTGACACTGAAATCACTTTCGCACATTCATCAAGCTAGTGTGAGACATGGCCTGTGGTCCTGTGGCGTGCAAGGTGCAGAAGGCCTTGGACAGAATAATCCACCAGGCAAGTTGCAATAGCGGACCAGTCCGACTAGAGCAATCTGGTCGGGTTGACCGCGCCGCGGCGCCGCTGGGACTGGCTTTCCTGTTCGGGGAATTCCGATGGTCCCGGTGAGATCTGCACGCACGTGATACAGGCCGTTGGTGGCTAGCACGAGCAGAGGATAATGGTGAATTCAAGAGGTGGAGCCGAATGTCAACAGCTCCAGAACCTCCGTCCATCATAGGACCATGCCAGTGACGTCAAACTGCGACGAAGTGGAAACTTCCCTTGGATAGCGGTAGCAGAGATTTTCTGCTCGCCATGCGAGCACAAATGAGAGGCGACCCGGGGGCATAATTTTGTGACACTGTGGGATGCACCTTTGGTCTACAGTATCTTCAGCAGGGCATCCAGATGACTTCTGGTGATTAAATTTTGATCACACACTGCGACAGGACCACGGTATAAAAGCAAGTGTGATGATGATACGAGGCAGTTGTGAAGGTAGTGAGCCCGTCAGGTTTCTCTCGTCCTCTTCGTCCTCAGTCGCAGAGTAATAACGCCACAATACTCGTTATCCGTTCATCGGCTGAATAGTGTCTTTTAACATTTCGCGGAGCCTTGCCACTCTCAAGATTGAATCTGCCCAGGCTCTGGGTAAGGCCAAGCAAGATTACCCCGGTCGATAGATCTTCTGGATACACTGCCATAGCTCAAACTTGGAAGGTTTCACGTCTTCGTAGAGAGTTAGCTACCTTGCAAGACCTGCCTGCTCTCGACTTCTACCCAAGTGCTGTGCTTCTGCAACCAGGGTCTCGTAAATTTGTAGAACTCCTAAGCAGTTCGACCGGGTGTTCTCTATCCACAGACGGGTAAGAATATCTCCAAATGGGTCTCGAACTAAAGTATTGCGTGTAGTTATAGGTTCCACAGAATCCTTGAGGTCAGTCTTATTAACAAAGACATGAGGTTGATAAAGGCGTGTATCCATTTCTAACCAATATCGCACCTGTATCCGTATCTTATTGATATCGAGATTCCCTTGCCGTCGTTCTTGCGCGTCGTTAAATGTTTCATTGGCCCATTGTGTGTTTCTTCCTTTTTATAATGTCGTCGTGACAGGATCAGACATAATTGGCCGTTTGATTCACGCTGTAGACATGTGATACCAATAGTTTGAAGTACAAAGGTACTACTTTCATTGCTTATAACACCAGAAGTAGCATACGATCAGTGCAATAAGCTTGGATATGCAATGAAATCATGATTGGAGTGGATACACGTTGTGTCACAGGTGGGAAAGAATACAAAAAATGTTTTGGAAATCTGCGTGGATTGCCCTAGTAACAAAAGTAATACCAAAACATACAGCAAATCAATGTGTTACTACAATCTGCCATATGCTACCCTGCCACTTTATTTTCCCCATGCAGCTTGGCGATGTCGGACAGCGAATGCGGTACACGGGCCAATGGCCTATCCCACGAAATGAATGGGGGAGCCGCTGGTACTGATGGGACAGAAGGGAGGACATACACCCTGCCAAAGAAACTGCAACGGTTAGTAAATCTAGCCTAAGAACTATCTCTAGTACGACCCCACAAATGAAGTTCAGGGTCTGGGGAGGCAACCATAGCAAACCGAGCATGAAGTGCCAGACGAAACACCCAATTTGAAGCTGCAGAATTATCGCCTGCACCTTTACAATTCAGGTTCAATGTTGACAAAGCTGATGCACCGAATTGAATGCGGCTGTGCTCCATGCGACTGGAATAAGGCTCCACAGCTACAGGTATAATACTGTCACCATTGAGTCGAATCCCAACAGAACTAGTAGAACTTTGCTGAAAGAAATTTGAACCCAGCTGCTGTGGAGAAAATTCTGTTTGTGGTCTATTTTAGCCTACCCTGAGCCCTAACCAACAGATAACAGACCTAACCAACAGATCAGATTCCCACAATGCCCCTTTTGGGTTCTAGAGCCACATGTATTGTACTTGTAGGAGTGCAAATCTTGCCATGACAACTTGAAATTACACGGACATCGACTAAACGTTCCTTCCCCAAAGGCATCTCACCTGTCGTATATGTACATGCACATGTATCAGCGAACACAATCTCAAGGAGCGAATCGAGTCGAAAAGAAGCCAATTCAAGCCATCCAACAAATAGAGCATTATTATTTGATTCACCCACCAGTACATGTAAGATTTAGATTTTTGATTGCTTTCGCATCGTCACTGACCAGTGTATGGCTTATTGGAAGAACCTGCTCATAATAACGTCATACCAAGTTAGTGTTGATTCTGCATGCAACACACTTTCCAGAGTGTGGTAATCGCCGCTAATACCAAGAGTCATCCAATGACATAGTCAGCGGCAAAGCAGTGATACTACACAGAGGAGGCAAATACACGTGATCGCTTGACTTAAATGGCACAGCTGAAAACGTTGTCTTTCTCTAACCATACTTGTGTGTTTTTGAACAGCGGCCTAACCTGGCCATTCCGTCAACACAGCCTGTACGAGGAGCAGCACAACACGCCGTGTCTTGCCGATTCAAGTTCACCGAGTGCCAGTAGCGGAGAGGTACGTGCTGCAGATCTAGTTTTGCTAGGGGAAATCCGACACGAGTTGCAAAGTCAGGGCCCTGGACCAAATCCCATGATAACTCAGGACTGTGTTTTATTCTACTTGCGTACGTGTATTTGCCGTAGCACGCCACTCTGAGGACAACACATCATTCAAGATCCGTACACGCACTGGGTGCCACAATCTGTACTCTGGGCCGGATTTTAACTAACCCAACAGTAGGATCTACATACATGTACATGTACATGTACATGTAGCATGACTACCGTTCGTTCTATACAAACGCACAGTTGCGTGTACATTTTGCACACGTATACCATCACATGTCTGATTCATATCGTCTTCAGGATAAGACAGTCAATGACTTACAATGAAAGTTTTGCCTTGGCCTTGGCTTTGAAGCCATGTGCACACACATCTAAAAAGGATGACGTGCTCTAAATGTGCTAAATGTCGACCAGATCACTGCACACCCATGTTGCTGTGCTACCTCCAGCCACCGAACTTTGGAACAGACTAGATATGCGAGTAACCCCAGCACGTCCCCAGCACGTTGTTATTTTGTAAATAAACAAACAAACAACAACAACAACAACAACAACAACAACAACAACAACAACAACAACAACAACAACAACAACAACAACAACAACAACAACAACAACAACAACAACAACAACAACAACAACAACAACAACAACAACAACAACAACAACAACAACAACAACAACAACAACAACAACAACAACAACAACAACAACAACAACAACAACAACAACAACAACAACAACAACAACAACAACAACAACAACAACAACAACAACAACAACAACAACAACGTCCCCAAACACCACCACTATAATGCTGTGTCTGCTTCATTTCTTTATTTTCTTTCGTTGTACTCTTGTATTCTTTTCCCGAAAACATGAAATTTCTCTGAGTAGGAGATCACCTCGACAGGCCTAGAGTAGAGCCTCTGTATAATCCTTGAAATACAAATACAGAGAAACCTGTCTAAGACGACCGCTCAAGGGACCTTCAATATGTGGTCTCTGCTACCAGGTGGTCTCCTTATCCAGGGTCAATTGACTGGAAATAGCATCCCTTGGTCTTGGTTCCAGTGGTCTTCTAGGACAGGTTGTCGCCATATCAGAGTGGTCGCCTTGACAGGTTTCACTGTACAAAATACACATATACATGACCAATTACATTGTCACCAACAGCGCCACCCCCAGAACCACCCCCACTTATGCCCCTGCCAGCAGGACAACATCACCACCCACTTATGCCCCTGCCAGCAGGACAACATCACCACCCACCAAACTACAGTGCTACTCGATAACAATCCGGTTACGGTGAGTGGCTGGACTGGATTTCATTTAGCAGCACTGCACATACAACATCCCCACTGCGTTCACTTCGTGAAATACAACTTCGGGTTGTTGTTTTAAATGCACCTCACTGCCTTAAAGTTTCATTGCAGTCCCTGAAGTAGAGCACAATGTGTAACTTTCTGGTCGTCTCTAGGACATCACTGATGGACCCGCTGCTTCACTGAACGTGGCCACTGGCGCCGAACTGAATGCGGCACGGACTCCCAGAAAGCGACGAAAGCACAAGATTATGCGGAAGCTTCCCCTGATAGGGCTGCTCCTCGCCCTGCTCATCATCGCGATTCTCGCCTGTGCAGTAGTGTACGTACAGCAGTCCACAGATACGAACCCGTCAGATGGAACTAAGTCGCGTCAACAGGCCAGCGAGATACGCAGACAGTTTCACTTCAACCTCAGCATCGGCCAAACGTTCCGGTCTCGGGTGCATTTCATTGCTAAAAGGAAGCCTGCTTCAATAAAGAAGTCCGCTTTAGGGACATGCAGGAAACGCTCACCATATCTCAGTGTGACCTGTGAGAGTATAAGCTGCAATCATGGGGATCCCGTTTGGTGTGCTCAAGCAGACGCGGCTTCTCAGTTAGATATCAGTGTGTTGGGGCACACCAAGAAGAGTGATGTGAGGTGTGGCACTTCTGAGGAGTATATCCCCAACGAGGAGCTCCTCGTCCTGCTCCAGGTTCCTGCCACTAGCATGTACGTATCCTTTGACAACTCCGCACCTACTCAAGCCCCTGCAACCGGCCTTAGAAACGCCAAATTTCTCCTGTACGACCTTGGCAACGGGACATTACATCAGTTGATGTCGGAAGCAGGGGAGAATGGTCTTCTGCATCAACTGCGTTCCAGAGGCAACGGTGTCTGGAGTGTACATCCAGTCGTGAATGGCAAAGCTGTATTCATAGGGGACCTCAAATTCCCGGACAATACGTTCATGTGGCCAGTGGCCTGAAGACAGCGGCGACCAGTTACATGTAGGTTGTAACCGTGAGTGAGTGAGCTTTACTCCGCAGCATGGGGCGAGGAGGGCTGTAGTGTGGGCCACGAGGTACATGGCCTGTCTATTCGCCTTCCGCGTCCACACACCAGTTGTGGCCCAACTGAATTGACGCGGCGTGAGACCGTGCACAAACGTCATTCGCCATGAGTGAGTCCATGAGTGCATTTGAATAATTTATACCTGTAGTATGTTTCTAGCGCCCAATCTGCATGCGCAGAATTACCGTATTTCCAGGCATGGGAAAGCCTCATATCAGCCCCCTCTGCCTCATGGTTTCTCTCTTGCCATGACTTTGAGTAGCAGGAACCTTCACCGAGCTGTCCATATTCTTGGGAAGAGACACTCTGCTACCATGGGCGTTGACTGCTCTGCGTAGATACATGTAGGTTATCACGAGGAATGGCATTGTATTCATAAGGTATTAGACAGTAAGGAATGGATGGTCATTCCACCTCCGTTCTCTCTATTGTCGAGGAACAAGAGCCGATTTCCAATACACAGCGTGATACAGTGACACAAGCGTGTACATACCACTATTTCGAAGTCACTCTTTGCGACCTACCCTGCAGTTTCACACTTCCACAATAGTATGCTTTTTTATTCCCGAAGCTATGCAAAAGACGTTACGTCTTTCAAATTTTATTTGTATTTGAAAGACTTGCCGAAGGCTTGGTCTATCTGGGCATCTGACAATGAAGACATCTTTCACACTCATTTACACTGTACATTTCTTTTCGGGCATATACTAGGTAATGAGAATAGCGGTATACTATGTAAAGTTCATCCACCGTCCGTAGAGGGCTCAATTGGTCGAGGGCAAGGAGCGGAGTCTTCCTTCTGCCTATTACAATAATGTTAGTCTCTGGGATTGTTCTGGACATTTTCAATATAACTCATGATGGTCACGCTTGGCCGAAAAGTAATATTTTTCAATTAAAACTGATTGATCTGACGATGTGGAAACAACTTTTATTGAGATCAAACTGCTTTTCATGAAGCTATTCGGTGTTTCGGTGGCCGCATCATTTCCCATAAGTTAACACTAGTAAGGGCAAATCGCATGGTAATCCTAAATCGCATGGTAATCCTACTCGTCGGGAGAACCAATTAGGGCAAACCAGCTCTCTTGTGTAATCAGCTAGAAGCGAGCCCCCCCCCCTCCCCCCCCCCCTGAAATAGGTATATTTCACCAATGCACTCCACAGCATGCCGGCAAACGTTTCTTCTGCGCATCTGGTATATCGCTGGTTATTCCTCTCTTTCTTATTCAGCTGCTGACCGCTGGAACTCAGTTCCGGTATCGGTCCGCCTTGCTGCTTCACCAAGTCAATTTCGGATCGCAATCCTAGATTGGCTAGGGTACCCCGTATTAAAGGAGACCATAGGTCTGTGGGGACTGCTCTAGATAAATATGAATAAAAATACTATACCATCGCTCTTAGGCTTAGAACTACGTGAAAATTCATGTTCCCAGTTTCTTTCATTTCAAGTTCCTTCCGAAATTTAACGTCGTTTCCGGGCCAATGTGTGCTAATGGTCTGTGGGGTACACGGAAATAGGAGACGAATGGTCGTGCTAATGGTCTGTAGGATACACGGAAATAGGAGACGAATGGTCGATAGTTTCCGACAGTGTTCACTACGAAGATCTATTTCTTCTCCGGTCGTTTTCTTTGAAGCTTGAAGCACAAACGAGAAGCCCTGTGCTGTGGCCTGGGAAGACTACCTACCAATTCCACAATACCTGCCTGATTGTACAGCCACTACACTACACTACACTACACTACACTACAGTGGTCCCTCTATAATCCGGCACCATTTGTGCCACGGAAATCTGCTGGATTAGGGAGGGTGCTGGATTAACAAATCTGATCTACTGCTGCAATGTGCATGAAGAGGACATTTGGCTACTGAACATTGTGCTGGTTTATAGAGGGTGCTGGATTATAAAGTGCCGGATTAGAGAGGGACGACTGTACACTACACTACATTACACTACACTACACTACACTACACTACACTACACTACACTACACTACACTACACTACACTACACTACACTACACTACACACTACACTACACTACACTACACTGTCCCCGGGGAAAATTGCGGAAAAAATCGCAAAAAACGCGGGGAAAAACGCGGCATAATATGGCATAATTTGCGGTGAATTTGCGGTAAATATGCGGTAAATATGCGGTGAATAATATTGATGTGCGGCAATTTTCAGTGAGTATGTAGTGAAATCAATCAGTTACAAGTCTCTGGTGTAAGCACTCGTCATATTAAATTTTGAGTAAAAAGCCGTAGTCCACAGGCCCAAAGCAAAAAATGCAATTTCTACGTCCTGGTTCGATCAAGGGAGCTTGAACAGATTGCCGTGTGCTACGGCTACGTTTCTGCTGCACTGGCGCTGCAGGCTCCTTTTCCGCCATCCTTCTACTCCATGGCAGACACTAGACACGGAAATAAGCGGCCAAAGAAGACGAGCTGTGGAAGAATCTGTCAGCTTTCGACTTTGTTTCGAGTTCGCCAAATTCAAAAAATTCAAAAAAATCGCCACGTGCATGCACCACGTGCACGGCGGGAAATTATGTGCGACTTTTACGCATGCCCAAAATGTGAAAACACGAGATCTGTGCAGGCACAGAGCGTTCGTCAGCCGAAGAGGAAACCACCCACTGTGAGGCTCAGCACCACCGCACGGACTCAATTCTTTCACCAAGATACCCCCCTCAGCTAGCTCTATCGGTGTTGTGAACCCTGCAAGATTCTCTAAATTGTCAGGATCGTACGACCACACGGCACGAGGACAACTCTTTTCCTTTACATAGTATATTTCACTTCATCTGATAATTAACAATGAACACTAATAACACCAGCTATTTATAGCATGCAAAACAGCGTACATGCAAAACATAAGCAGATAAAACTGGACATAACAGCGTATACAGCAAAACGCACACAACGCATATAGCGTATGCCATGCAGCAACATCAGCGGTACGGCGGAGTCGAAATACAACATTTCAACGAATACAATGCCATAAGCGCGAAGGCCTTTCCCAATTGAGAACTGGTGGTTTACAACATTCTCCCCACCAAAGGGCTTCTCACCGCCGTACAACAATGCACACAAGTCAAAAACGATCCGGGGCTCTGACTACGCGCCCAGAACGCGTTATCTCCTGCTGCCGTGGTGGTGGTAGCGGTGCTTACGGTTCATACGCTGGCTGCTGAGGGACGATAGCAGGTTGAGCGGTATCTGCAAGCCCAGGAGCCACGTCCTGTGACGATACTTCTAACGGCACTAACCTTTGGATCGGCCTCAACAGGGTACTGGTACTCAACTTAACCTTGGCAACACGACGCTTACCATCTCGACCAGGGAATAACTCGATGATCCGTCCCAAACGCCAGAACTGTTTGCGCTTGGTATCATCGAGAACAAAGACAACATCACCCACAGCTAAAGGGCGCGACATGGTCTGTTGGTGTTTGTTCAGCTGACTTAGGTACTCCACCTCCCAACGATTCTTGACATGCTCCAGTGTCCGACTGAGGTAACGCAATCTCGATGACATCTGCGCAGCGTCCAGGGTACCTGCTGGCTTCTCTGACGACATCCAGATGTCACCCATCATCATTGCAGGGGTTACTGGTGGCTCATCCAGGCTATCAGACACATAAGTTAGCGGACGACTATTCACCACTGCTTCAACCTCATACAAGAGGGTCTCAAGCTCCTGGACCTTCAGAAACGCTGTTCCCATTACCTTTTTCAAGGCACTCTTCACTGTACCAACCATTCGCTCATAGAAGCCTCCATGCCATGGTGCAGCTGGAGGATTGAACATCCATGGCACACCCAGTTTGTCAGATGCCGCCTTGAATGTTGTAGCGTTGTCAGACCTGATCCGAGACGGCAAACTACGTCTCGCGACAAACTTCCGAAATGCCATCAAGAATGACTCGGTACTTAAACTATCGACCACCTCCAAGTGAACTGCTCTGGTGGTGGCACACACAAACAATGCTATCCATACCTTCGGAGATGACTCACCACGGCGCACGTACAACGGACCAGCATAGTCGATGCCGGTAGTTGCGAACGGCCTCTCGTGAACAACTCGGTCTTCCGGCAGCGGCGGGCAGACTTCTGAGGCAGCCTTAGCCTTGTAGCGGCGGCATGTAACACATCGCTGAGTAATGTTGCGTAGCGCCCGTCGACCACCGATAATCCAGAATTTCTGACGGATGAACGACAAGACTCCTTCTACACCTTGGTGCATCCTTTCAACATGCATTTTCTCCAACAGCAACTCGGTCAGATGATGTTTGCCTAACAGGACTGGGTGCTTGGCTCCATACGCCAACTCGCTGTGCTGAAGTCGTCCCCCGGCTCTGAGCACTCCATGCTCATCCAGAAACGGTGCAAGCTGATACACCTTCGACCCAGGCTTCACTGGTTGACCTTGCTTGATCAGCTCAAGATCCTCAGCGAAACATGCGGCTTGAACGATGCGGTACAATACGTTGTCTGCTGCAAAATAGAGTTCAGCACGAGGCTCAGTGTGCTTCCACTGCAACATCCGAGTCACCATGCCCTGTGCCCTCGACCATTAATCGGAGCCACCATTCCTTATCAGATTCTCGACTACAGGTGGTGGCTGACACTCGTACTTCTACACTGGACTCATCTGAAGCTGCGGTTGAGGATGCGGTGGGCCAGCCATTGGGCTCCGTGATCCAGGTTGGTCCGCCCCTCCAGAACGGACTACGGATCTGCTGTGCACTACTCCCACGCGACGGTAAATCTGCTGGGTTGTGAAGGCCTGGGCAATGGTTCCACACAATGCCGACCTTCTTCGATATCTCTTGGACTTGACTGACGCGGTTAGCCACAAATGTTTTCCATTTGTACGATGGATTACTGATCCAATGAACGGTAGTGAGACTGTCAGTCCAGCCATAGACTTGCGTGACGGTCACACGCAGCTCCTTCACCACAAACTCAGCGTAGCGAGCCGCTAGACATACTGCTTGTAACTCAAGGCGGGCTAACGTGGGTGGAGACACGGGTACCACTGTTGTAAACCACCAGTTCTCAATTGGGAAAGGCCTTCGCGCTTATGGCATTGTATTCGTTGAAATGTTGTATTTCGACTCCGCCGTACCGCTGATGTTGCTGCATGGCATACGCTATATGCGTTGTGTGCGTTTTGCTGTATACGCTGTTATGTCCAGTTTTATATGCTTATGTTTGGCATGTACGCTGTTTCTGCATGCTATAAATAGCTGGTGTTATTAGTGTTCATTGTTAATTATCAGATGAAGTGAAATATACTGTGTAAAGGAAAAGAGTTGTCCTCGTGCCGTGTGGTCGTACGATCCTGACAATTTAGAGAATCTTAGAGGGTTCATAACATTTGGCGACCACGCCAGGATAGGAGCGAGCATGGCAGAGCAACTACACAATTTGGAAGCCAGCTTTATCGCCAATGGAGTTCGGTTAGGATTAGAAGGCGAGTTGTTGATGGAACATGTGGAGCAGAGGCTCCAACAGTACGAGGAGCGTGAGGAGCGCAGTGCCAGACGGCGAGAGGAGGCGCTCCGCACCGAGTTTGACAAAACACTAAAGGACATTAACGAGCGCATCGCCAATGCGTATGAGGGTGATGGTAAAGCCGCGATGGGAGGTACAGAGGAAGCTCCCAGTAACAGCGGGGGGCGTCAACCGTTGATGAAAATCCCCTCATATGATGGAACGCAGCCATTGGAGCGTTATCTTGACCTGTTCGAGGACA